GGGAGGGGGCCGGGCCTGCCCTGCCCTTCCTTTCTGTTTTGTTTCTCCTCTTTTTTGTTTCTTCGTGAGTTTCATCAGTATTCTGCTTTTATCCCTTCTTTCCCCCCCCTTTTTTTGCCTTTGCTCTCTGCTCCCCTCGTCGTTCCTCACCGCCGCCAGCTCCCAGCAAGACCAAGAATGCCATTCGTGAAGGTTGTGAAGAACAAGGCGTACTTCAAGCGCTTCCAAGTGAAGTACCGCCGCCGCCGCGAGGGCAAGACGGACTACCAGGCGCGGCGCCAGATGGTGCTGCAGGACAAGACCAAGTTCGGGACGCCCAAGTACCGCCTGGTGGTGCGCATCACGAACCGCGACATCATTGCGCAGGTTGTGCTCGCGAAGGTTGTGGGCGACGAGGTTGTGATGGCGGCGTACTCGCACGAGCTCCCGCAGTTCGGGATCGAGCACGGCCTGACGAACTACGCGGCGGCGTACGCGACCGGCCTGCTGCTGGCGCGCCGCATGCTGACGAAGCTCGGCCTCGCCGGCAAGTTCGAGGGGGCGAAGGAGGCGGACGGCTCCTACTCGGCGGTGCGGACGAAGTCCGACGACCAGGGCGACGACGAGGCGCGCTTCCCCTTCAAGGCGATCCTCGACGTCGGCCTTGCCCGCACGACGACCGGCGCCCGCGTCTTTGGCGTGCTGAAGGGCGCCGTGGACGGCGGCATGGCCGTGCCGCACCGCCCCAACCGCTTCCCCGGCTTCAACAAGGAGAAGGACTCGCTGAACGCCAAGGCCCACCGCGACCGCATCTTCGGCCGCCACGTCGCGGAGTACCTGAAGCAGGTGCGGGAGGAGGCGAGCTCGAACCCGGAGGAGAGCACGTGCCAGTTCTCCAAGTACATCGCGGCCAAGGTCGCCCCCGACGCGCTGGAGGGCATCTACAAGAAGGCGCACGCCGCCATCCGCGCGGACCCGATGAAGCGCCGCGCGAAGAAGGAGCGCAAGGAGGGGGCGGTGGCGAAGAAGTACAACACCAAGAAGCTGACTGGCGCCGAGAAGAAGGCCGCCGCCAAGGCGAAGATCGCTTCGGTGATTGCGCGGATCCGCGACCGCACGTCGAAGTAGTCTCCTCTGCTGTTACTGACTGAATCCCATGGGGTTTGTTTTCTAATTTTGGTTACTAATTCCGCAGCCATCTCTTTTCCGCCTCCTGTCGAACGGGAGGGAGGGAGGGAGGGAGGGAGGGAGGCCGGGCCTGCCCTGCCCTTCCTTTCTGTTTTCTTTCTCCTCTTTTTGTTTCTTCGTGAGTTTCATCCGTATTCTGCTTTTATCCCTTCTTTTCCCCCCCCCCTTTTTTTCGTCCTTT